TACTCTTTTTAAAAATTTACAAACTGTCATGTGGTTGATACCTCAGCTGTCTCTTGAGAGGTTGCAGGTCCATCACTATCTATCAATTTCAGAATTTCATCAGCTTTTCAGTGGCCAATTAGAATAAAGTGCATTTTGGACCTCAAAATTTCCTGAACGATATAGAGTAAACCATTTCTAAGTCCGGCGTTTACTGATAGTAAATACATTTTATGGCATGGTTTTGCGGCAGTTTCACCTATTTTATAACAAAACCTCAAAATCAATATTACGTTTTGCATAAGGGACGAATCACACAATTGCTTTCCCAAATATATAGCCTGAAATGTCATCTTCCAACACATATTACTTTAATATAATCGGATAACTGTGGCGAGATATATAAGTACTAAACCCATCTAGTGATAAAAAGCCGCAGATCATTTTTATGGTATGTCACCCAACCCATGCAAAAAAAATTCTATACTAAATCATTGAATAAACATTATAGAATAAAGGACTAAGCTAGTAACATTAAAAGAACGAAATAAAAATAAAAAAGAAAAAGTGCCGCCTCAGCGCACTAAAAACATGGAATAAAAGAACAAGCACTACTTTTAAGAAACACATTTTGCACTGGCATCAAAAGTCAAAAATATTCGTCAGTACTTGCATTAAGTATAAAATTCATAATAACAGACGTACATGCAGAAAACTATATAGACAAATAATGCCACTTAGCGAAATTCATCAACCCAGTCATTCTTATCATTTTTGTTTTTTAACTATCATATAAATTTCTTCTAAAGAAAGATATCTTCAAGACACATAATGCTTAATTAAAAATATATGAATCAAGTTTTTTTTTTTAACTTTAAAGCTTCCGCAATGGTTTAGACTATTTTATGATAGTTGAAAATAAACAATTCCACATATTAAACAATTTTCTTTTGAAATACGCTTTCAGATATTATAATACATTCTTTATATAGACACAGTTCTTTGAAGTAAATAAGAATTATAATTGAATTATAATTGAAAATATTTTTTTAATGCCATAATAAAGCTAGTATAAGCTTAAAATGCAAGAAATAGAAAAAGTCATCTGGCATTAAGCAACGTGATATAATTCATTCCGCTCCATGCGGAAATGAGGGCGTATATTTAGGAACAAATTTCTTTTATGGATGTGTAGCATACAAAACGTATAATCAAAAATTTCTAAAATATATAAATTTTTTACAGCACTTTAACAAGCCACATATTGTCCACTGTGTCACAAAGAAATTTACACCAAATAATCTAATGTGTTAAAGTTTTTCCATATGGAACGTTACAGCACCTCCGTTTTAAACATGCATTTCTTGAAAGTATTCAAAAATTATAATTGCACATATGCAATTCCGAGAATATACAAGCTTATTTTTTAGTGCTTTAAAAAAGCATACAATTCCTAGAATATATACATAAATATTTAGTGCTCTAAAGAAGCTACTTGAGTTAGAGAACGAAACAGTGACTGAAATTGAATAATTTGAGGTACTAAATTTATCTAATTTGAGGTACTAAAGCTATCTGACACATTACAATATTCTTATGGAATACTATCTTTCAGTTACACGAAAGTAATTAATGCAATAAATATTATGGTATTATTAAAAAGCTATTATGAATTTAATTAGTATAACACCTTTTTTAAATTAAACTCTATAAAAAATAATAAGAACTAGTTTTTATAAAATAATTATAATAAATTAATTATTTTCTATTCGATGGTATTCACTAAATTCTATCAACTGATATGCTAATGTGACATATACATGGTATTATGGGATTAGACGTGTTCTTCACAGTACAGCAAATATATTTACATATTTTATATAGCAGTTTCATACTATTTTTGTAAGGACTATAGCAAATAGATAATAAATATATTCAAGTATCATATATATGTTATTTGGGATTATATAAAAATAATTAGTGTATTGGGAAGGACTTTCTGGACTAAATCCAAAAACCGCTTAGTTGAATATCGAATATTTATATATAATCCAAACTAATTATTTCTAATTCTAATTTATCTATTATTCTTATATATTCAAAAAATTTTTTATTTTATAATTTCATTCATTTATTATTATTTTAAACTTTTTATTTTGGTTCTAAAGTAGATGTTAATTTTAAAACATAGCACTACCCACTATAATATTTACAGGCTAATTAAGTTTAATTATTCTTATAACTTATCTAAAGTTTATAAACAATTATAAAATTTACAACTTTGACTTTAATAACTAAAATATTTACTACATAATAAATGTATTTTGATTCTCTTTTTATTTAATTACAAAAATTTTATTGTATACATAATAATTCTGTATGTTAAGCTAAATTTAATTAAATTCGATATGTTGTTCTTTTATTAACAAACTCTTAATCTCAAGTCTTAACTAAAGCCAATAAAACTCGCAGAAAGTAAAAGAAAAAAATTAAAAAAGAAGTCTTACGATATGAAAAAATTCACAACAATTATTAAAAACGGAAAATACTATGATTAGATACTATCAACCGCTTCATAAGCTGCAAGGTCTAAATCACGTAAGTTGGAATGCTCAGATACAAAAGCCTCATTCTCCTCAAACCCGATGCCTAGTGCCGTTACTATGGCATTACGGAGCCGCTAGTAGGGACGCCAAACATCATTCGGCTTGGGTGTACGACAACGTATAGGTCCAAAACTGCCACTTCCCGAACGAGAAGTGGTACTAACATCATCTAAATCAATAGTTTCCACAGGTGATGGTGAACGACGAGTTGAGCTGACTGGTGGCGAGGCATTAGGATTTGCATTTTCATTGTCCTGTGAATGTGAGATGAGTGTTACATTTCGTTTAACTAAATTCACGCCATTGGATACATCTGTTGTGCTGGCTGGAGCTGTAGGCATAGATTGTGTTAAGCCCGCAGACGTTGGACTTGTAGTCATAGCACCACGAAACCAAGGCATATCACTGTAATTACCGTAAAGTTGTGAATACAGCCACTGACTAGGCTGTGGCAACAAAGGATTCTGCAAGAATAGTTGTGCAGCCAAAGCTGGATTAAAACCATGACTTGGTTGAAAGTGATTTGCAAATCCAGTAAATATCTCATTTTTACGTAAAGTCGAGTTACGCTGTATGAGTGATGTAAAGGCACCACCATTACCGTTACTGCTTGGTGGAGAAATGCTGCGCCCCTCATCGTCTTCATGCAGAGATGATACCTTACGTGGAGAACCGGTTACAGATATGCTATCACTTTCGAAACCAGCGTCAATGATGTTATTGTTTTCATTATCACTATTTGTTGTGGTTAAAGGCGGGGATGTGGTTAATGGCAGATGTCCAATTGCAGTATTAGTTGTGGTAGGTGAACCTTCAGGACTTGTTGTACTGTGAGCAGCATTAATGGTTGATAATTGACTTAAATGTGTTAGGTGTGCATTTTCTGTAAACAAAGCAATAATAATTAACTATTACTGTTACAAAAAGTATATCAATCAGTCCTTACCTATTGTTCCTAAGCCATTACGTTCCAAAGTACTAGCTATACCATGTGCTGGAAAAGCGGCGTGAGGATGATGAAAGAAATGTGCGCCATGTGGAAATCCAGGACGTCCTAAGGCAGCATGTCCGGCACCCAGTGCACGCCAATCTGGTGCTGGTAAATGGGCATGCATACCCACTAGATGATGAGCGAAACCTACAAAAGGAAAATAAGTATATTATTATGGTTACAAAATTGACATTATTATTGAACGAGATAATGACATAGTACAGAGCAGCAACACATATCTATTTTACTATATCCAGAGAAAGTCATACAATACAATATTACACAGAAACGCCTGAGATCTATTATGCTATGTGCAGAAAAAGTCACACTATAGCAGAGCACACAGCAGTGATCTAAGATCTGTTATGCTTTATCCAGAGCAAGTCTCACAGTAGAATAGTACATAGTGAAACTGTGCTATACCCTAAGAAATTTAAACAAGTAGATAATACAACTAGAGTTAAAACACATATTAAACTAATTAGAATAAATTTAGACCATTGATGAACTTTATGTCTACTCCTTGGTTCAAGCTTCCCGTCTACATTTAGTTCAAAAAAATTAGTTTAGGCTAATTGGAACAAATTTAAACCTTTGATGAACTTAAGACTCCAGTCCGCATTAAGTTCAATAAAAGTCGGAATTGAAATATAGAGTTAATTCGTGTCAATCACGGCATGCAAGCAGATAAAATAGGCATTTTACTGAAACTACAATTTTTTTCGACTTCTAAAGAAAATTCTACTACCACAACTGAAACTCCAGGTATTAGTATTTCATTAGCTTCCCTTCCAATAGTTCCATTATTATTCCATCCTATATTCTTCCACTAGTAGCTTTAGAAAGTTTTTAAAACTGCTCATTATGGCAAACTTAGTTTGCTATTACAGATGTGACCTCTTCCAGCCAGCCCGATCAGGGGCTTGTTGTCATCAATTGGTAGGACCGAATGTCTTCATATCATTGGTTACTTCTCCTTCCATCTGAATTGCAGGCGTCCTTTACCGCATGTTCCATCAACACGCACTGAATCAAACACCTTTTTAGTCGGAGCATTTTTACATCCGTACGACCAAGCCAGCGAATCAATAAATTTGTATGCGGTTAAAAATATGCCAATGTCATTCCATTTAATCCACTACTCATTGCCATCGCGTAACGAACCTTAGATATTCCGTAGAATTTTTCTCTAGTAGCTCATAAAACGCATTTGAAATTTATTTCCAATTTTATTAGTAAATCATTGCCACTTAAATGGCCAAAAACAAAGCCGCATAAGCCCAAACTGCTATACCAAAATTTAGCCGCTCATTTTGGTCTATTTCTGGGCATAGCCACTATTATTAACCACACACCCATTGAGTATATGCAACTCACTCCTATACAACCTTTGTAATACTGGTCGTATATAGAATTTTTAGCATGTTACCATTATTCCATATGTTTTTATTCAGTTCTGTGCTCACACTACCAATATTTGGTTTTCTTAACATGTACGTGTACAAGCAAATCGTAGCAGGCCCACCCAAAATGGCGCATATACCCACCGTTAGTACTACCATTAACAAGTTCTCATACATATTCATTAAAACTATACCACTAGGCAGCCCACAATCACACAAGCCCCCCAAAAAAAAATAAATATTTTAAATAAAATGCTATAAAAAATTAGCAGGCGTGTTGCCATTGCGGCACATACTCAGCGCTGCCTCACAAACTTATTTCCACAAAATATGGGTGGGTACTTCACAGTATTAGCCGCGCGCTTGAGAAAATGCCCGTAAAAAATAAACTCATTCTCTCTCTCTCTCTCTCTGGCTCTCACTCTCTCTCCTTTACTTTTTCATCCAGATATTCTTTTTCTTACCAACTATTAACCATCAGATTCGTATGTACGTGTGGAAACTTTTTAGAAGTGTGCAACCAAAATTTTACCTAAAATGTGGCACCATCATTGCTGCAAATTCAACTTATTTAGTTCGTTGATGTCTTTTTAGCCAAATTGCTATTTTTGGTGTACACCAAAAGGCGCCACTAACTTACCAACACTCCAAGAAAATGGCACAAACAATATGGAAGCTTTAATAGCACAATTTTCCATATTGTGGGTCTAACCATATAATGCCACATGCTCGTACATACCTACAGACGTGTACGTGAGAGGGGGATTATGTAGTTTGTAATTCATTGAACTCTGATTTCTCAAGTAATTGAGGTTGGATTTTCAAGATTTTGACATTGGCACATCAAGTACTCCTAAGGTTTTTTGTTGATTGAAAAACTTTTTAGCAACTGTTTTTTATTTTATTTTGATATAAACTCATATGTACATATATGAGTTAAATTCAGATAAATTGCGAAAAATATTTTCTTTACAAAAGTGTATCACAAAAAACAAGTATTCCGGTAACAAACGTAGTCTATTTAAAGAATTGAAAATGGAACTTAGGGACAGCACAGTGAAGTTCTGATAAGTGAAAATACTCTTATGAGAGCCCACTTCAATATAAATATCGATGAGAGTCAAGTACATAAACTTTGGATTGATATTATTATGAGAGCCTGCAGCATAAAAGATCAACTATGGTCGCAGTGTTCCACTCCGTTGGGAACTAGTACCGTGTTTATTCTATTATGAGAGTCTACTTATATATTGATATTATGACAATTATGTGCAAGAACTCTGCTTTATAACGGTAAACTGTGGAAATCAAATATAAATATTAAAATAGAAATATAGTAATAGAACCCGCTTATTTGATAAGTACAAATCTTTTCTTGAAGTGAAATCTAATCGTTTTTACTCTGCTTCTCTTGGTGTATGCTTTTGGCAATTGCTTATCTATCGATCCCTATATTTAGAAAGAAAAGAAACTGGGGTTTAAGTACTCGACAGCCTTTTGAAGTTTGCTAAAAACAATAACTATCTTTTCGGATTTTACTCCTTTTAAATTCTATAATAAAAATCAGAAGCAATATTCTTATTTAATTTAAAGGCATTTACAATCCTAAACAGCACAACTTAGGTGGAAAATATGCTATAAAAGAACATGTACTCTCAGTTCAGTTCTCAGTTCAGTCCCCAGTTCAAGTAAAATCAACTACAACAATTGTAACTATTGATAAATAGTTAAATATTATTATATCACTGCTGAATATACATATATGTATATATCATTGGAACATTCTTTCTTCATATAGTTTAGTTTGAAGAAGTGGCAGAGCAAATAAAATAAAAGTAGCAGAAGCTATAAAACTTATAAGATTTGTAATTGAAAACAGATGGCTTATAAGAAGTGACTAGGAAGTCGAAAGATTCTTGTTAAGGGCTGCGACAGATACAATAATAGTGTAAATTTTGAAGAATTCTTCTTTATTAGAGATTAATATCTTATTAGATCTTTAGTCTAAAATAAATAAAATGGATGTATCCCAAAGTGAGGGGTTGTACAAGTAACTAGTGAGGAATATAAACATGAGATTCGCCAAGTGAGAATTTGGGGAATTGTTACACTCCCTTCCTTCCCTCTGGAAATGTAACCGAAGTTATATTTCAAAGAAAAAAGAAATAGATACCATGATGTAATGGTAACTCTTTTACATTAATGTGATGAATCGTTGACGAAGTTATAGTCAGGGCTATATCCAAGTAGCCATGTGTAACAATTGAAACAGAGTTTCCTATTTAATGTAACTTCTTTTAATAAATGATTAAATTTTACAATAATGAATATTGAATGGAACTTTTTGTATGCTGATTAATAAATGAAATTCTTCCGCTTCCACTGGATTGTTTTTTTAAGCATCCATGAATTCAAGGATTTGCTATATAAGAACATGTTTCCACTATAAAAGTAAAAGTTTGGCTTAAAAAGTGTTCTACAATATTTTTAAATATATTGATGAGTTTAAAATAATAATATATTTTAATTATTAATAAAAGTTTGAAAGTACTTTAGTATTGTATTTCTATAATGAGTATCCATAGCACTCTACCTCGAGAGTCATCAAAATATATTTCATATTTTATAAAATGAAATAGAAATCTAAAAACGACAGTTTTTCTAGACTTTTACTACAAGCCTAATCCTTTCTCCAAACCTTTGAATATAGTTGTTTAAAAATTCACTACAAATCTATGATTTTTGATGTATATATTTATTTGATATATAAGCTTGAGAATCTAATAAAATCTAATAAGTACAATATTAATAAAAAAAATTTAGATATTAACCTGGAATAAATAAATTTTCTTCTCGCAAAATTTGTTGTACTTTAGGAAAGGTTTAGTTATACCATCGATCACAAGAATCTGCTTCGCTTAGGCTAATTGGCCGTTAAAGAAACTCGGAGATTTAAACACCACCTTAAACCTTTAGCTAAGCTTAAAATGCTTTCTAGAGGGAGGTCTTGCAGTTCACCCAGACCCTGGTTGCACTTCAAGTCTTACCCAAAATGAAGCACTTTAAATAAAAATTCTTTTAGATAAATAAATTTTATAGAAAAAAGTAAAGAAAAAATAATTATTATAAATCATACACAAAAAATAAAATAAATTAGAAAAAAAACAGTAGCAGCATCCTATAATGACGGTCGATACAGCAGTGCAAATATGTGCTTGTGCCCCAGCACACACCGCAAAAATAGTTCAGTGTAAATGTATTAAAAGCAAGAAATCCTTACTACATGCACTCGCATCTGCTTTACGTCTTATTCAATGTGTGAGTGAGCACATTTGCATATGAAAATCTGTGTGCGTGTTTGTGTGAGTGTCACTTTAGCCAAAATTGGAATGGCAACTGCTTGCTTCACTCCCACTAAAACCTAAATATGCGGTCCTGTAAGGAAACCTATGTGCGATAAAGGGTTAGCCACGATGGTGTCAGTTTGGGTCGGGTTTTCTTCGGCTTGCTTTCTAGTTACGTTTGTTGTTTTTATATATTTTGTTGCCTATGCTTTGAGTTGCACTGGCAGGTGGTGCTCCAACACAATCGTACACATACGGACTTTACTCCTATGCATGTGAATTGTTGCTATTGTGTATGCATGTGTATGTGTGTGTTTTACTCAATCGACATTTTAGTAGAATGGTAGCTGGAGGGACATAACGTGGTCCCATTGGTGCGCCACAAAAAGCTTTCTTGCTT